GCGCTATAAAGTACGATGGCAGATGGTGTAGTTCTCTCTTTCTTTCTCTCTCTCTTCTCTCGTCCGGTCTCGCTCGTCTCCTCGTCTCGTCCTCTCTCTCTCCCATTCCACTATCTCTCTATCTCTCAAGCTTCTTTTCTCTGTCCTCTGCACCACATCTCTCGTTCCATCTTATCCTAATCGCTCTAATACTGTGACATTGTCTCTCTCATCGCTCTCATCTATCTCTATCTCTATCTCTCTCTCTCTCTCCTCTCTCTCTCTCTCTCTCTGTCCTCTCTCTTCTCTCTCGATCTCTCTCTCTCTCTCGTCTCCCTCTCTCTCTCTCTCTCCTCTCTCCTTTCTCTCTCTCCTCTTCTCTCTCTCTCTGCTCGTCTCGTCTCAGTCTCGTCTCCCCTGTCTGGCTGTGCTCTCTTCTTCTCTCGTGCGTGCGTGCGTGTGTGTAAGGGAGGGAAAAGACCATGTGAGAGGGAAAGAGAGGAGGATTTGGTGGTGGGAGGGAGAAAAGGTGAGAGAAAGAAAAAGTGTGTGTGTGTGGGGGCAACAGAGAAGCAAGCAAAAAGGCAAGGAAGGAATATGCGCACAAGCAACATTCATTTATGACTAGCGTGGCTGTGTAAATACAATTTATCAAGTAGACAAAGTCTGTAGACTGCTAAAATGGGTGCTGACTGGCTAAATGTTCTGTCTATGAAAATGTCGAATTTTCAATAGTGTCAATCGTTTTCAATTTTCAGTAGTTTTCAAAAATGTAGAATATTTTCAACAATCACTCTCACCTTTTGCTGAACGAACGTTTGCACGTTTGTCGAGTTCTTTGTGGGTATCCGTATCTAATTCTTGGAGCTGACCTTGCCAGACATTTCAAGCATTACTAACGACTCGCACCTGTATATGTGCGTAACGTCACTGTTGTTGATTGTTTACAGCTGGACAGTCAGAGAGTGGCCGTCTCAAAACTTTCGCCGATGATGGAAACCATTAACATGGTAAGGAAGGGAACCAGGGTGACAACAAAACCATGATCTCTTATCAAATCCAAATTATTATATAATAATTAGATATATTAATATATAAATATTTATCATAATTATTAAGTACAGATCCAAACGCCCAACCTTAACGGCGCTCAATAATCTGGCATCCAATAAGGGGTAAAATAATAAACTGCAAACAACGATGTAAATGGGACAGTGTACTGAGCATCTGTTTGCATTTTCTGCTACTTTGTGTTTAGGTAGTGTACTTTATGTTGAGTGGTTTGTATTGCATACCGTGAGTGTATCATGGATCTGTACGTGTGCGTGCGTGCATGCGTGCGTGCGTGCGTATCATAGACGTGTCTCACTGTATCAGTGATCATGGTGTTACGTGTGACCCCCATCTGTCTGTCTGTATGTTGCAGTGCGTGCAGTACGTGGATGAAGGAGTGCTTACTGAACTAGTGCCTCGACTGTGTGACCTCATTAGAACCGGTGTTGGACTGGGAACCAAGGTGAGATCTACCCTCCCTATCTAGAGTGTAGTGTAGCGCTAGCAGATCTGAAATGCCATGGCAGACGACGGCCTACCACTGTCGCTGCGGCACCAACCGAACAGATATTACCCATATACTCTGTCTGGTGTGATTGACAGGCAGGTCTAGCCAATCAGCATCGAGATCGATGTTGCCTAAGAGTCAAGACAGTGCCTAGCATCGGAGTATCACTGCTGCTGGGAGAATGGATTTTTAATTGCAAATTTGCTCCTCGCTTTTAACGCTTCTGTTACTTAATGTGGCAGATTTTCGTAAACGTAATTCTCATTTTGTTGTGTTGGAGCGCTGTTGCTGCGACAATGTGAATGTTATTGTCATGGCGGATGGCTATTAGAAGCATGCTCTTTTGTTATTTCCTCAGGTTGGCTGCGCAAACCTTGTGATTTCACTATGCTTCCATTCACCGCAGGATCTTACAGCTCATACAGGTAGGTTGTCTGTGTTGTACTAGTAATAAAAATATAGCAGCTACAATAATATGCTCCACACACACACACGCATGCACGCACGCACGCATTCACGCACACATATGGTCTGTGGCAGTTACCCAGTGGGTGTAACTGTCACCGCCAATAACTGTAGCAGGATTGATGTGTTGGCTTGTGTCACACAGTAGTGTGAGTATTGTCTATGTGACACACTACATTGATTTGTTAAGCTATAGAGAGAAGCGTCACCAAAGGGAGGTGTTGATCCTGACCGCTGAGCGTGGATTTTGCGTGCAGTTCTGCGGCAAGGCGCACGCGACTGCGGGCACGTCCTACGAAAGTGTAACGCACTGGCCACTATATGGATCCGTGCGCGAAATTCGAAGGCCGGCGCACGGATCCATATAGAGGCCAGCGAACACTCGAATTTTAGTTATATAAAGACCATATCATCATTGCAATAGCAGACTAGGTCAGTTGAGGAAATAACACACACACACGCACACGCACACGCACACACACAAAATGGAAGAGAAATGAGAGAGTAAAACGACGTACCTAGGTCCGATCAGATAGGTAAGTGTAACATGTTAGTACACGTAAACGCAAGGCGGATTATCGCCTCCTATGGGGGACGCCTCTAGTATCTCTAGCTGCGGTGGACTGTAACGTGATGATCAATGCAGAACTCGTCTACTAGTATTTACAAACTAGTTACTTAGCAACGCTTATAAACAGACACGCCGAGCTGGCCGGTGCCAGCCTGGCCGGGTTTGGAGTACCGGTAATTAATAATCACAGTAAATTTCCCCAGCAACAGAGCTCGGCTATGCTAGGAACGTGCGTGTGACGAAATCGTGATTGGGAGAGAGAGAGAGACAGTCTAACACGCGTATAACGCACTTACGCTATGCCATATGCCACATGTTCCGGTGTAGACTATAGGCACGCCACTGCCGCTCGTGTAAAAACTCTTGGTGCATGACGCGGCGCGTTGCTCGGCTAGCGGCCACGTCACCGAATAAACATCGTGATTGGCATTCGGTGGGCGTAGTGATTGACGTGAGCGAGCTAGCCGACTTCTTTAAGGAAATGCGGCTTATCTTAGACGCGCGCGAACGTTAAACATACTTTATATACCGTTTGGAACTTGCCATCGTCAGTCCAGTGCGAAATCGCCGTCGCCGGGGGCCCCGTTTTCGCGAAGAGCGTTTCAGACCCCCGATATGGGGAAGCTGTTAAAAGTGATCGAAGGGGCGGCGTTGTTCGCTATCGGGGCGTGGCCTTGTCGCGCGTCTGCGCTGTCGCGCACCGGGGGCTGCATCACGTCAAGATTCTAGTCTATAAACATGGCCGCTAAGGTGTTAGTGGCGTTCATGTGTTTGTTGCTGCTGAGCAGTTTTAATGACATTGCTGCAACGAATGAATGTTCACATCCAGGAAAGCTGATGAAGGCTATGCTACATGGACTCACGGATAGAAATGCTACAATTCGCAAAAGTTACGCACAAGCTCTTGGTCATCTAGTCAAAGTAAGTATTTGTAACTTGTAATTTAGACTAATAACTAAGTAATTGTAATACAACTTGTAATTGTAGTTTGTAGTATTTTTTGGGGGGGGGCACACACGATTGCTTGCATCAAGTGGTTTCCGTAAGAAAAACGGTTTCCTATGTTTTCTTGTATTTTTATCACAGTAATGACATATATTTGCACGTTTAGTTCAGTCTCTCATCGTCCATTGCTAATGGTACTTCTAGGAAGCCTTACAAGAATAAGTTATTATTTTCAGTGTGCGAGAGATGCCAGTGTTGGTAAGCTCTTAACAAAACTCAGAAGCTGGTACATGGAAAAAGAAGGTAGGCGCATACCGCAGTCCTTATGTAAGAATTTGTGTGTATGATTGCATGTATATGTACATCCATGCATCTGTGTCTGTAATGCGTGTGTACGTGTGTGCATGCATGCATACATGTATGTGAATGTGTGTGCATACCTGTGCGTGTGTACATGCATGTACACGTGTCCGGGCGTGTATACGTGCATGCGTGTATGTGTGTTTCTGTGAGCGTACATGTGCGTGCGAGTATGTGTTTCTGTGAGCGTACATGTGTCGATGCGTTTGTGTGTATACATTTGTCAGAGATGCCAACCACTACGATTTATTCGTATTTTATAAGAATTTCTATTTCTTTTGCACCACTACGACCAGTTTGTATCAAACTACGAATTTCACTGAGATCCAAAAAAAATTTTTTTTGGTCAATTTATTGTTATTTTTGACCCTCAGAATGCAGGAAATTGCATCTCAGAATCAAAAATTTTTCCGGGGGGTATGCGTGACCCTCGAACTACTAATTTGATGGCCAGGAACTACAGATTGCTTCAAATATGTGTTGGCATCTCTGAGCGCGCGTGTATGTGTTTCTGTGAGAGCGTACACGCACGCTGCGTTGTGACGTCATGCGCTTCGCTGTCGTTGCAGACGAGTCGTTGAGGCTGGCGGTTGCCTACACCCTGCAGGCGATTAGTAAGAACAGTCCTGACGTGATGCGCGCCTATGCGACCCAAGCTGTTCCTCTCGTCTACTTCGCAATGCACCGCAAATGGGACAAGACAAAAGGTGAGCCACCACCTCTGTTTAGTCGTAATAACGTAAAATGCTTCTAGTTATCGTGTAGAAATATCTAATTATCATGCTGGCTTTAGATGTTAGATAAATGTGAAATTCTCACAGGAAACATGAATTGTCAGGTGTGAACAAACGAAGTAAAATACGTAGAAGGCTAGAATTTTGAATACTTGCCCCCTATCGGCTGGTGTTGTCTGGAACCCTTGTAACGAGGAACTGTTGGTGTGTCAGCCATGCGTGAGACTAGTAAACTCGGTAACGTTAGGTGTGTTTACACCCATCATGAGGCTCACTAGCAAAACCAAGCTCTCTCCCTCTCTATCTTTCTCGTCAGGAGAAACGGATGCAGAGCAGTCCATCTGGGAGGATGTATGGTTGGAATCCACTCCAGGTGCGTGTGGTCCTGCTTTCTATTATTCCTTATCGACGTTTATAATCTTTAAACATCAACTGGATTTGATTAATGTAGTGAGTGAGATTGTAAATTATAATATATAATTGTAATGTATAGATAATGATGTTAGACTTTAACAGCTCTTAGCCAAGCAAGATAGCTTGGTGTGCATGCCACCGCTACACGTGCTATTTGTTGTTTATTTCTCAGGTACGGAAGGTGGCATCAGGTTGTACATAGAAGAGCTGGTAGAGATAACACAGGCCGGCCTGGAGTCAAACTCATGGCCCATGAAAGCGCAGGCAGCTTCCGGAATCGAGATGATAGGTGAGTGGTGCATGGCGGTATAATTATGTTGCCTACGTTTAACATTAGAGAAGATGCTCACGCCGCAGGGCAAACGTTTAACGCACGCGACGCCATTGCTTTCACAACGATTTCTCGTCTGCAACATCATATAATGCAACGCTGAGTGAAGATTCGATCGTATCTCGTTCGATTGGGTATTTTATCGTATTAACTACCAAGATTCTGCTATGGTAAAGTAGCTGCAGTGATAGGATATGTTTCTGACAGGGTGTCTTACATGTAGTGCTACTCGGGGTGCACTCCTTCATTCATTATTCATTCATTCACTTATTCGGGGTTCCTTAATTAATTCAGTCCAGACTCTTGTCATTGGTTTTTCACTAATGCCTGTGCAGTCATTTCTCATCCGGTCAGTGCTATTGTGACCAAGCTTTTCTCATCATAAGTTATGGTCACATGTTCTTATACCTTTATAACGATGTTAATCCTGGGATTCCCCGTAGTTCTTAACTTTAGTCACTGATCACATCTGTATCGGTATGACGTGTTTTTTCCCTTTCTGCGGTACACAGCAAATAAGATGGCAGGGAACTTGGGAGCGCCCCACCTCGGCAAGCTGCTAACGGCATTGATCGCCGGACTCGCGTCGCGCACGTGGGATGGCAAGGAGGCCCTGCTGAAGGCAGTCGCTGCAATCTGCACCAACTGCAAGTACGTCCACGGTCGCTCGCTCGCTCGCCGGGCAAGCTGCATGCGCGAGTGTAGAGAGAGTGCACGCGGGAAGGGTTTGTTACGCATGTAGAGAGAGAGCACATGTGAAGAGTTTGTGACGCGTGTAGAGAGAGCACGTGCTCGCTGGCGGCCAGGTGTATGTGCGCATAAGAGAACGTGTGTAGGAGTCATGACGCGTGTTAGGAGCAGAGCACAGTGATCGCGTGCGACCAGCCGTCGTTGCGCGCATTAAGAGAAGTTGTAGTAGGATTGCGTGACGCTGTAGAGAGAGCACGTGCCTCGGCTGGGCCGGCCGTGTGCAGCGCATGTAGGAACGTGTGTAGGCAGTCGTGACGCATGTAGCAGAGAGCACGATGCTCGCGGGGCCAGCCGATGAGTGCGCGCATTAAAGAACGTGTGTAGATTGGTGACGACGTGTAGACGAGAGCACGTGCCGTCGCGTGGTCGCCGGCGCGTGTGGCGCATTAAGAGAACGGTGTAGGATTCGGACGCTGATGAGAGAGAGTACGTGCTCGCTGGGCCGGCCGTGTGCGTGCATTAAGAGAACGTGTGTAGGATTCGTGACGCGTGTAGAGAGAGCACGTGCTCGCTGGGCCGTCGTGCTGCCGCATTAAGAGAACGTGTGTAGGATTCGTGACGCATGTAGAGAGAGTCACGTGGCTCGCTGGACGGCAGCCGTGCGCGCGCTATAAGAGAACGTGCGTGGATTCGTGACGCAGTGTAGAGAGAGCGCGCTGCTCGCTGGGCCACGCCGTGTGCGCGCCCCATTAAGAGAACGTGCGAAGGATTCATGACGCATCTAGAGAGAGCACGTGCTCGCCGGACTGGCCGTGTGGGAGCATTAAGAGAACGTGCGAAGGTTTCATGACGCATCTAGAGAGAGCACGTGCTCGCCGGACCGGCCGTGTGCGTGCATTAAGAGAACGTGCGTAGGATTCATGACGCATCTAGAGAGAGCACGTGCTCGCCGGACCGGCCGAGTGCGCATATGGAGAGGACAGGGTTTGTGACTCGTGAAGGTTTCGTGTCGCGTAGGGACACGTACGGACGTGCGTACGCACGTTGGGAATTATTTGTTCTCTCCGTAAAACGAGCGTCGAACTTCAAAATAACCATTCGGTCTCAAACGATGAAAGCGCTTTTCGACAACGCCGACGACGACAAATCGATTATCGAAAACAACCGTCGCGTTGGCAGTTACTCGGGCTGAACTGCTCGCCTTATTCATATTAATATTTAGTCCTCCGACACTAACATCGAGATCCCTGCTGACCCCCTCTCTCTCGGCTTACCTCTCCTCAGGCACGCGTTGTCAGCGAGCGTCGAGGGGCAGCCCAGCGTGGAGGAGCTGCTGGCGGCCGTGATGCGTGAGTGCCGCAAGGATAAACTCGGCTACAAGCTGGAGGCGGTGCGTGCGGCGGGCATCATGGTCGACGAGTTGGGAGAGGACAGGTTCACGCAACTGTGGGAGCTGCTACTGCCGTCGCTTCGCAAGGTAACCGCTGCCGGCGTGCGTGCCGAAACACTTAATCAAATTAAACTAGAAGTTATAATTAAAATGAAAATATAATTTTCAATTAATTAATAAAAAATAAATATATAAATAAATAATTAATTCGAATTTATGGGTCTAAATACTAGTAAATAGTAATGATAGTTATGTGGCGTCTAGCATTCATTGCTGTGAGAATGATCTCCGTGCTATCGCGCTGCCAACAGCTGTGAATTAGGCTCCTTTTAAAATCGGGGGGCGGGACGTCAGAAAAATCCCAACTGGCTATGACATCCTAAGTCCAGTATGCTGTGACTCTTACATGTGAAGTGTTGTGTAAAAGCTATGACATCATACACTTGATAATCCTATTACGATGTTTCTGACAACAGACCACTGCCTGATAAATAAACGGCTGCAGGTTGGCTGCTGTACATATGTCTAGTGTATGAGTTTGATTTTGATACCATATACAATCAGGTGATTATTATACCTATAGGTGAACAGTATGGTACAAAATCAGTATGTCTAGATTGGTATAAATCTAGTATATATTTCAGTAAGCTAGACTTGCCTTCAATTTAATTTAATTCACATGACTATTTAGTATTCCGATGTTTGTTTGACAGGATAAATCAAAAAATGAAGACAGTGATTCTGATGAGGAGGTTTCCAGCAAAAGCTCAAGGGTTACCATGAAACTAGATTTCCAAAGTGTGTCATATGAAGCATTAGGGAAAGCGTGGCCAAAGCAACCTGCTACACAGGGTAGGCACATCTTTGCTTACATGGGCAGAGATGTTTTTACTGTCATGTACATGTTACATGTATGTATATGTAATATGTATGTATTATCAAAGTATTATTAGCTCTTGATTTTATATGTGCATGTTACATATATACATACTACAATTACGTGTATATGTTACATGCACATGTTATATGTAGACATACTAATGTTACATGTGGAAAATGTTTCTAGCACTTGAATGTACAAAAATTGCTTATGCATATTATTTTAAAAGTAGTATATATTGTAAGGTGTTGCTGTGCTGTCTGATACGTCTTTTTCTTCACAGATATGTGGCAGGAACAGTTCTGTGAGTTGCTGGTGTGTGAATTGCCAAACACAACGTGGAAAGTCCAATTATCAATCCTGCGAGCAATGCAGAGCTTTATATCTAGGTGAGTCATCTAACATAATGACCATGTCACACAATTATTGCTTATACATCACATATACAGCCTTGATGTTCTTATCTAAGCTAGCTTATACAACTGTTATAGCAATGTTATAATGTATGGTTAACCGATTCCAAACTTTTCTGTTTCACCTTAATTATGTTCGATCTCTGAAGATTACATGTGGGGCAAAGTATTAAAACAATCCACAGAATATTCAGTAGAAAGGTGTTATATTTGGACATGCACCTAGTTACAGATTTGAAATCAATTCTGTGTGATCTTTCCTCATTCTAGTTTGCTTCCTCTTTGATCATGTTTCATGCACTTCACAGATTGTGTGTTTTGGAGAGCTCTGAGAACATAGAGAAACATGAACAAGTTGTGCTGAAGCTAGTGTCACAGATAGTACCCCCTGTCTGTCAATCTAGTGGTAAGTTAATATAAGCTTTCTGCATGGCTGTGAATCAGAAACTGTCTCAGTTAGAATAAGAAATGCATCAATGTCTCCAGACTCCTTGTGCTTTCCTTGCAGCACACTCGTTTTGGTGTCGCTTTTTATCTTGCTCACGTTTAGTCCCCATGGCAAATTTATTTTGTCATTGTCTGAGTGAACGTCATTGGGAGGTGGCAGTTCTGAATCGTTCGTTGCGTAATGCGATCGTCTTGTCTACTGTTCACACACATAAATGTGTGTCAACCGTGTGTTTTGAACTTGTGGTTTAATCTATTGGAATTATACTGGACATCGATGCTTGAGTGGTCAGTGTTTCTAGATTTTCCTGATTGGTTTTGGGATTTTTACTAGGTATCTGCATGCTCATTTATTTATTATTGTCCTTGTTGTTTTTGTGATTGGTCTTATGGAATTATGTCATTTGTATTGCTTTGGTTTGTTATTAAATTTTTATTTGTTTTATAAATAATTGTTCTTGTAATTGGTCTGTTCGACTTGTGTCAGTTGTATTGTTTAGTTGGTTTATTATTATTTCCTCACAGGCATAGCAAAGTATGCAGCGGTGCGCACGGAATCAATCACCGTTTTAGAAAAACTGATTGCCAAGCTGATAGCCGCCGATCGATTAGCAATTCTTCCGGAACCACTCTCCAGTCTGATAGATGGCGCCCTCACAGCGATGGCGACCGACAACCAACCGGAGCTGAAGCATCGGGCAGCAGAGCTGCGCAAGAGCTTAACGACTAGCAAATAGACGAGATCCCAATGGAAGCGGGGATTCCGTTGCGTCGTTTACCTCTCTGTTACTGAGAGAAGGGCTTGCAGTGGTTTTAAGAGATTGTTCTTGCGCTAGCCTGAGAGAGAGAGAGAGAGAGAGAGAGAGAGAGAGAGAGAGAGGAAAAGGCCAATCAGTGGGGCTAATGTCTTTTCGATTCCTTTTCGTAGTAGCAGCGCTGACTGCGCACGGGCGGTGGGAGCGCATGCACGTGCGACGATGGGAGTGGAATCGCGTTGGGGGTTTTATATATCACCACTTGTCCGAGTCGACAGATGTCAGCGTTGCATCTCGCGGTGAAGTCTGGACGGACGCCCCTTCACTCTCGTCGATGCCTTATGCGGTACGTCGCTATCACTATTTATATGAAGCGTGTTGGCATATACGGATACGTTATATCGTATACGTATAATTTACGAGATGCTGGTAGTGTGTGGTCTACATGCTCCCACTGAGCTCGCCCGCTCTAGTTTCTGCTTTGGCTGCCACCTTGTCTGTAATATTGGGAATCGTCTCTAGCTTGTGTGAGAGCTGTCCTCGGTTACTGAGCATACATGCTAAAGACGTCATACAGACATACGGTCTACAGACGTATACATGCGCGTCGCTGACGGTGTGTAACGCATAGAAAATCTGGTGTCACGAGCCGCGAGAAGTTTTTACCGAGAGATCGTCGTTCCTCGTTCGCGCATTTCGATTGATATGTTCGAAGCGCGATGGCTGCTGGTGGTGGTAGTGAGTTCAGGGTCCGTTTGAAGTAGCTAGCACTGCATTTCTGTCTGCATTCTGTGTGTTCAAGCTCTCTATATATGCAGTATGAAGTTTGCATCGTAACACGTTCGATTTCGATGACGCGACTTCGTTCCATATTCGTGATTCAAACATGGCTTGAAATGACGTGGTCTTGTATTTAAACACCCATAGCGTGTGTATTAAAGGCATACTAGGCCCATTGATTATGCAATGTTGACGAATGCTAGAGTAACTGGCACCTTGTGTAGTTAATAAGTACATAACTTTATAGCCAAACGCGTATTAGTTTGTCCAATATCACTGCTGGTTACATTACAAACAAGACTTGAAATCGGTTATTGATATATATCAACGTATCATTTACGTGCCGTAAATGTCATCCAGGAGTCAAGCGATGACGTAAACATTTGTGCGGCCCGTATGTTTTGGACGCCAGATGAAATGGAGGTGTCAGCGGTGTAACCACGGCCACGGACTAAACATGGAAATGGAGTAAAACACACGTACTAATCACTGACGCACGTGGACAGCCCTGACAAAAAGTTCTTTATCACGAGCGTACATGTTTACGAAATCACTGATGATAGCATTGCGTACGGTCGAGCATGCGTGCGAAAATGTCCGGTGCACTATAAATCTGTATCACACTCGCTTCGCCGGCAGCGGTTTGAAACTGTAAACAACTGATTTTTGGACTGCGGATTTCAATTAGACATTTCTTAGTAACCAGCAGTGATATTGGACAAACTAATACGCGTTTGGATGTAAGGTTATGTACTTATTACCTACACAAGGTCCCAGTTACTCTAGCATTCGTCAACATTGCATAATCAATGGGCCTAGTATGCATTTAATTACGTCTGTAATGCGGTGAGTGTTCCGGCATGGCTATGTGATGACTAAACGTGAGATATTACGTGACTGCGGTTGTGTTACACAACACACTGTCGTGCAATGCAGTCTAACATGTGTATATATAAGGTACACACAAGTAAAACGTCAAGTGTCCTTTATAGACAGCTGTCCGTTCTATAGAAGTGGTTTCACTGTGTAACTGCCACTCAATCGAAGCACCAAGTGTCCTTCATAGATGGGTGTGTGTGCAATAGAGGTGACCGCTATATATATAATAATCTCTCACTTGTTAGCAGAGCTGTAAATTGCTTGTTAGAAAGTTTGTTAGGAAACCAAGTTGGCGACCTTTGCAGATGAAATTATGACCTTCATGTGACCTTTACAGTTAACGCTGAGCACATGGTGAATACATGTGTTCATGGTAACCACTTGAACCGTCTGCTAATAATTAACTATGCTTGTTATCCATAGCCTGATTTTCTTATATCCCTGGTATTATTTTATTGTGCATTCATATCGAGGTTTAGTGATGGCAACACAGGTTACATTGAAAACATAAAGCATGCGACACTTGGGAAGGTAAATGTGTTTCTGATGACTCAGAACATAGATGGACTAAAACCTTTCATAAAATACTGAAAATGCACGCGTACAGGGTTCTTCGTTTGACGCATTTTCACTCGGATTTTGCAAATCGACCGTATCAGCGATTAGCGATTCTCTTTTCCGCTGTCACTTGTTTATTCATGTAGGAGTTGTGCAGCGCCTTGATTCAGCGAGTGGCTCGCGTGAGGTGACACGGTGACCTTTTTCTATGCTGTTGTATGCGTCACGCAGAGCTAGATGGGAGGTGTATAGTATGTGCATATCATAATGTAATCAATTGCTTCTCGTGATGAATTGCTTGTGTGTAAACAGCACATTCTTAAAACCTCGTCTCATATTAAAAGGGCATGAATAATATCAAGAGCTCGTAATAGAGAGCTTTCTCATAATAGAGAGCTCATAATGAGCTCTTGATAATATCTTGTATGGGACTATTACAGATATAGCGATATTTATATATATATAACCAGCTTCGTATGTGACAGTATGGGCTTGATTGCTGATTTCGAATGACTGACAAGGTACTAATGGAAATGTAAGTGTGGGTGTGTAATAAGGAAACGAGTTATTGTCATTGCATTCATTGTTGCTTGTTAGTTTCATTTATTAAATATAATGATCAAGAAAACCCTATTTTCTAATCTGCTATCTCGTGTAATACAGCAACACGAAGGTACTCGCCTTAGTTTAGACCACAGCCAGAGAGAGAGAGAGAGAAAGAGAGAGAGAAAGAGAGAAAGAGAGAAAGAGAGGGAGGGAGGGAGGGCGAGGAGCAGGGAGAAGATGGTCGAGAGAGGGGCATGAGGGGCGGAGGGAATAGAGGTGAGATGAGGAAGAGGGAGAGCAGGGAGAGATGGGAGAAGAGAGAGAGAGATACTATATCACCTCTCTCTCACTCGCTCATCGTCTCTCTCCCCTCTCTCTCTCTCTCTTCTCTCTTCTCTCTCGTCTCTCCGTCATCGCCTGGTTCTCTCTCTCTCTCTCTCGTCTCCTCTCTCCTCCTCTCTCGTCTCTCTCATCTCCTTCTCTTCTCTTCTCTCCTCTCCATCGTCTCTCGTCTCTTGGTTCTCTTCCTTCCTTCTCTCTCTATATATATATATATATATATAAGAAACAGAAAAAATAGAATATATAAAATATATAAAAATAAGAAATAATAATATAAATATAAGCTGCGTTCACACGAGGATTTCTGTTCCGTACTAAGCGTTCACACGGTAAAACTAGCCAGAGGGCGCTCACGGAGAGTGCATACCTCCGCCAGCATGTAACATGTATGTGCATAACAGCTGGCTCGCTGCTGGCTGCTGCTGACTGAACGCCCTAAGGCGAGCTGCTGCTGACTGGACGCCCTAAGGCGAGCTGCTGCTGAATCGATCGTGCGAACACTAGTGGCTACACACACACACACACGAACACACACACGAGACCGATTACATTACCTCCTTGGCGGAGGTAAATATTCAAGACTTATACGCGGCTTAGCAAGTACCGTACTGAAATACGAGGCTGAAGCGATTCCGCGCTGAAACATTCGGAACCACGCTGGCCGAGTATTGTCTGTCGTGTGAACGCAATTCGAGGCCTCTTACTGTAGTGCGCTTACCTAGACTGGTACCCGTTCGCTACACGACGTTAGTGTAGCGTGTGGAACTGTCGACCGGGTACCAGTCTACATTATACCTAGCCAGCTAAGCATCGATTCTCGTGTGAACGCTGCGGGTTGTGTTAGCACGGTATTTCAGCCGAATTCAGCACCAGATAAGTACGGAACCAGCAAGGCCGTGTATTTCGTGTGAACGCAGCTATAGATATATGAAATAAAAAATAAAACAAATATATACAATATATATGCGTGTGAAATAGAATTATCATATATTATTATATATATATTAATATTAGAGTAATGATTTAAATTTTAATTTTAATTAATCCCCTACTAACTCATAACTTCGGAGGTACCAACAGACCAGCGGAGGGGGTAGGCAAAGTACGGTGGTGAAGCGTGTGGTACACTGACGCCAGGTAGGCATAATGAAGTACATAACTATGATATGAGTGGACTATATCATAATATAAGAGGACTCATGTCCTCCTGCTAACGTGGAAAGCTAGAAATATTACCGGAACGCGGTCGCAAGTGGCCTTTCCGCCTCCCTTTATCCAGACGTCCCAAGTGTCCCGGTCTCACCGGGATTAACCGGGATCGTCCCGGTGCGACATGCTGGTCCTGGTGTCCTGGTATCCCGTTAAGAGTCCAGAAAGTCCAGGTCGTAATATTTTTCAGCCATATTTTAAAATTTACATTAGTAAATTACTAAATTTGCCGTGGTTGTTGATGTAGGCCTACTTTGATTCCAGCGAACAATAAAAGGCTACAAATTTCAAACGCTTTTAAAAACAAACCATAAATTAACATGAATGTGCATTTTATTTTACATGTATACTTTATAAAAAATGGTGGTGCGCCGCGACAAACACATGTCACACCCGCCACGTCTTGTTTTTGCGCACCGGGGAAAAACGGCGATGGACCATTATCACAAGTCGTCCCTTTCTTGGATTTTCCCAACTTGTGACCTCTGAATGGGATGCATTCATAGATACATATATGTAAAAACACAAAGATGCCTAAACGTTTACGTTCAAAACTATGATAGATATGCTAACGTTATAGTTACGACCATCCGTATAACAAGTTATAATATTAGCATTTACGTACCTAGCTCTAGTACTATAGCCCGCTTACATTCGCTGCAGCGGCAGTCAATGTAAGCGGGCTATAGTACTAGAGCTATTACGTACCTATGACGTAATCGTATCGTTCATCGGGATTCTCCTGTATGATAAGCCGTTGCACGCGCTGTGATCTCCAGTATAAAACTCCAACCACAGCCACCGTCACGGCTATGATGTTAGTCCACATCGTTGATTATACTACAGCTGCAGCAGCTTGTAACTTTCATATGACCTTGCACCTTTCCTATGACACCACACGTCATTCAAATACAAATCGCTTAACATACGTCCTGTTATTCAAACAATGTCTGCAAAATTGTGACCTTTTCTATACCGGTGTTCCCAAAAATAGTAACATATTTGCCCATGCAGATGGTGTAACAGTGTTAAGCCTGTATAGAGGTTGGTCAGCATATTCCTCAAATGTCTATTACATATACCAGTATTCGAGCAGTATAAAACTCAGCAACACAAGACTCTACACGCAGAGTCGGGTACTCTCTTCTCTTCTCGGAATGTGTAAGAACAATATGAAGAGGAATGTTTATGTATTTGATATAGTTTGTAGCCTAGTATGTAAACTACGCTATTAGTTTATAGCAACTATGTATAAATGAATGGGTGGTAGAAGAGACTGGTGGTAGGAAATGAGATCTAGGTGTATGAAATGAAAATGAGGTGTATGTCTCTATCCGCGAGAAGGGAGGAAGAAAGCGATGGAGAAGGGAGAATCAACGAAAGCTTGTTGGAAGACGAGAGAAACGAGAATAAGAGGGAACGAGTCTCTTATTCTCTTTCCGTCTCCATTTTCTCTAAGAGAGAGAGAGAGAGAGAGCGCGCGCACTAGAAAGAGAGAGAGAGAGCGCGCTAGAGATAGAGAGAGAGCGCGCGCATTAGAAAGAGAGAGAGAG